ACATATCTGTACATATAAAAATTATTAACAAAATATCACATATAATTCAAGTAAGAAACTCAGATCTAACTCTGTCTAAGCGCGCGCGCGCGCGCGCGCGTGTGTGTGTGTGAGTCTTAACAGTCTTACATGTCCTTAAAATGTATTACATCGGAACGTAAGAAGTTTTTCTAACAATGTTTTAAGATGTCTTTAAGACGTTATAATATTGTGTGGGATAGAGATATATAAAATTTTATTACATTTTACGAATGCATTGATAATGCAAAGATTAGTATCAATAACCGATTTCTCTCGTTATTCTACATACAAATATTAAGGTTATCATAAAAGTGGTTGTCGGAAAGGTAGATACTATACCAGATATTTCATATCTTACAAAAAATCAGAGTATTTTATCTACAAAAAATCAGAGTAAAATAGAATATATCTCGGAAACTGATTTAATTTTCAATGAACTTAGTTTAGTATTTTTAGACACAGAATAATAAGAGGAATAGATTTGTATTAAAACTCCTAGCTAGTCGTTGTGACTCAGTGGCGTAGCCAGATGGGGGGCTGAAGGGACTGCAACCTCCCCCCCCCCGAAATTAATTTTCTGGGTTACGCTAAGTGTGAGAAAAATTTTTTCGGATGACCTTCTTTTTATGCTCGTCAAAAATAAAAAGTACAGCCCCCCTCGAAACTTTTTTCTGGCTACGCCACTGCTGTGACTGTTCTTGTTTAATGGCGTCAGAAGCGAGAAAACGCGCCAAGATTTCGTTCGTTATACTTTTAATTAAAAAGATATATCCATAAAGTGTGTGTGCGTGTGCGCGCGCGCGTGTGTGTGTGTGTGTAACATTGGTGATCAATTCAGCACTTGTAAAATTGTCCAAACACTTTCCTTTTGTTCGAACAATCAATAACCCACACAGCAGAGGTGTCCAAAATATATCATAGGGATATCCTAAAAATATATTTGGGATATGTGATATCTTCAAGATATCCTTATGATATATTTGGGACATTCTTGCTGTGTAGGAAATAATCGCAAAATTAATTTGACATGGAACCTTCCTTTTTAACCTCTTTTCTCAAAATTATGTCAATGTTAATTTTGCGACTATTTATTGATTGTTCGAGTAAAAAGAAAGTATTCGGACAATTTTACAAGTGTGCTGAATCGATCACCAATACTATTTTGTAGATATATCTTTTCAATTAAAAGTATAACGAACGAAATCTTGACATGGGTTTTCTCGCTGCTGACGTCATTAAACAAGGACAGTCACAGCGATTAGCCAGGAACTTTAAAACAAAATTAAATATATAATACGTATATTCACGTGAATTAGGTTTTAAATAACTACTATTGATACGGCCCCAACAGATTTGAGTATCTTACGTGAGTCATCTTACAGGAACTGCTATTGTGATATAGCTTTAAAATCAAATCTGAGTATGTGACATAAAACAAACTTTCATATCAATATGGGTTTAAAGTCGAATCTGAACATTTCACGTGAAACAAGTTTTGAATAACCATCAAGTAAACAAACAAAATTAGACCAATATTGAAAAATTTTATGTATATCTCTTGAACGTTTTCGCTTAATATTTTAAAAAATATTTTGAATATATTACCCTGAATAATGCCGAATCTGTAGGAAAATTGCAAAAATGTTTTAGAAATATTAAAGTGTCAAAATTTATGTTAATACTTTAAAAGCTACATATTAGAAAACGTTATTAGGTATTCATCGAATATAATTGCAATAATGTTTTCTCAATGATTTTTTGCTTACTGGGCACTATTAATATAGGCTTAAATTCAGATTAATTTAAATTAATAGTCGTTATTTGAAATTTCTTTCAAGTGAAATATTGATCTGAGTTCAGAGTTAAATGAGAGTTTTCTAGTTAGATTGTGATTGCAGATATAATGTCACATGTATCATATAATTTAACTGAAAAACTTGAATCTAATTCTGGATAAAAATCTGAATATCTCATGTGAGACAAACTTCAAGTAACGACTACAAATAAATTAATAAATTAACATAGGTCTAAGTATATCACTTGAAACAAGTTTCAAGTAATAATATAAGTATAGAAGATTGTGTGTGTGAGTGTATATGTGTGTATGTGGATTAAAGATTGAAGCAGGACGCGGTAAACTAAAATCGAAATTAGTCGATTCGTAAAATTCTAAAATGTCTAATCCGCAATACTCTATTTTGAAGAACTAATTTGAACCCTATTTCCAAGAAGTAATCTACTCCGTACCCGGTGAAACGATTCGTATAACATCTGAGAATGGACTTGAGACAATTTTAAATACGCTATAAATATTTTAAATATGCTATAAATATTTTAAATACAATTTTCAAATTATAAACGCTACCCTGAAACAGGCTCAAGGCTCCTGGATATTCGCATCATCTTTTGCTCTAAACAATCAATAATTCACCATAAATAAATGTGATAAAATCATGTGAAGATAGGTTAAAAAGATATAACGCATTTCACACACACGCGATAATCAACAGCAAATTATTGCTTGTTACAGTAAAAAGGGGTTAGGCGGTTAGGCAGTTTCCCGAAAAATTGAGAGGATAATGTTGGTACCAAGGAAAATATCTACACGATATAATTTAAAGATCTTTGTAACTGCACACTGCTGAACTAATGCAAAAGATTAGAGTGAGAAAACGTATACTTGCCTCACTTCAATTTAATGCACCAGTTCAGCAGTGCAGTTACAAAGAACAAATTTTTAAATTATATCGTGTAGAGATTTTCCTTGATATCAACATTATCCCCTCCACTTTTCGGGAAACTGTCGCCTAACCCAAAAGGGAAGTGTTCGGACTATTTGACAGATTTGCTTGATCGATCGCAAGTGTCGTTTTACGACACTATATCTTTCTTTTTCAATGTATTTCGAATCTTTCCTCATATGCGTTCTGTTTGTTTATGACGTCGTTGAAAAGAGATAGACGATGCGTGTACTCGGGAGCCTTAACGCGCTGAAGTTAGACGCATGTCGCGTTAGTCGGCACTATTGTCTCTACGGATTGATGTTAGCCGCGCTGTATCCTTCCGTCGTCATAAAATTCGTTGTGCTAAAATGGGCTACGTTCCATTTGAGGATAGCGTCAACGCAAGCATCGTTCCGTTTCTGCTTAACCCTACAGTCATCGCGCTACTTTTCGAACACGAGTCGACGCATGGGATCTTGAGAAATCTTAATATAAAAAATTATTTTATATCTTTCACATTGAGAACTTAAATATTTTCTTTGTTTAATTAGGTTTTTGGGTTCATGTAAGATATAAGAAAAGATTATTTTGGGTATAATATTCTCTTAAAGCGACGACTGTAGGATTAACATCTAGTGAGAAAGAAAATAGAAAAATGCACGCATCGACGCAATCGTCGAATACAGCTACGGGCTGCATTCAGAAAACACAACGGTTAAGTGAGCGTTCACTGTTATCGAAATATCCTTTCAAATCTACCATACATCTGAAAGAATACTTCAATCAAAGCGGGCATTCAGTACTTCAACTGCTCACTGAACACCTAGGATGCGTTCCGATATTTATTGTCGATACTGAAAATATAGTTCGTATAACACGTATAGATTTTTAGTGGCAGTGAATGTCGAAACGCAATCTTATTAAATTCTTGCATATGATTAGTATATTTTTTAGATCTAAAAGAATTTATATTACAATACAAGAATTCAATAAGTGCTCAGTTAGTGATTGTTGTATTGAATGTGCGCAAAGACTACGTTTAGCAGAGAAAGCTGCTTTGCAACCCTTATAGAAATATCATACTAAGAATCATTGATAATTACTTATTTTCAGTATTAAAAATACTAGATAATAAGTAATTATCAATGATTCTTAGTATGATATTTCTATAAGGGAACTGTTACCAAATTCGTATATCTGATTAGTATATCCTTTTAATCTTGGTTATGAAGAAAATCTAAAAGTGTACACTAATCAGATTCACGAATTTTACACTTGCAGAGCAATTTTCTCTGCTTAACATATTCAGTGTTGATTACGGCGCATTATTACGCTGAATTCTCCATTGTACTCTATTTCTTTCGTACCTATTTATAGAATTATTCCACATTTCCGGGAAAATGCATCGACAAGGCGACAACAGGAGAGGCTATTTTGCCAGAAATATAACATGAACACTTGATGTGTGAATCATCAAGTGTTCTCACACATCACTTGATGTGTGAGAACATTCTTTGTAAGAATTATAACATGAACACTTGATGAGTGAGTCGATCATACACGAATTTTTCATCACGGAGATTTCAACGACAATCGCGCGGCGATCGATTATTGCTGCGCACGCGAGAGAAGAGACACGGTCTTTAATAAAAAAAAAAAAAAAATACCGATAAAGCCTATCGCGCGAGCGAAAGCCACGTCACAATTCAGCGATAGTTAACAATGTATGACGCTCGAACAGATCGCGCGAACAGACATTTCGATCAGATATAATAGGGTGTTTTTGCAATACCATCTTTCGATACGATAACGCTAAAGCACGTTCCGATATTCATTGCTAGTACTACGAATGTACAGTTTGTGTTACGTATCCTATAGATTAGAAGTACTGACATTGAATATCGAAAGGTACTTTAGCGTTATCGTATCTGAGACATGATATTGCAAAAAAACCCTAATCACACGTAACTACGTAATTATTCCATGTAGTTGCGGCGACAATGCGTTTCCTTTTCCGCAATCGTTGCTATCGGCTACGAAGGATCTGTTTTCTATTGCTGAATCGGCTGCACTAGTTCTCTCTTATCTTTCTTCCACCAAATTTGATCTATATATCTGTTTCTTAAGTTCCAAAAGTGTATATTAGTTCAGCAACAGAAAATGGACCCAATATGAAGAAGCGATCGACGTGGGCAAAATATCTTCCTTTTTCAAGGACCGCGTGGTACGCGAATAAACTAATGTAAATATACTAACCTTTCACGACTGCGACCGTCTTGACAGGATCGTTTTTGACAGGATTCATGGTAACTACGTGTCGTCCTCTTCTCTCGCTCTAGACGTGACTATCCTGCGCGCAGCACAACTCGTTTACTTATACGGGTGCAGCGGCCGCCTCTCGACTGCGAGGATAGCTCTGAAGTGCACAACGGGAGAGTCCCGCGCTACAATGCAGTGGGGAGGTGGGGAGAAGAGGGAGGGGATATGTTATGAGTGAGCCCATGAAAAACCTCTGGGATGAAATATGAGTCATACCGACGGTGATAAAGTGACGCTCAAGGACAGAGGTAAGCGTCTGTTTTCTGTATTTGGCTCTCTCTCTCTCTCTCTCTCTCTCTCTCTCTCTCTCTCTCTCTC